GGGGGGGGGGGGGACCGGAGTCCACAGCTCATGTCACCTCGTCTGCAGCCTGCTCGGGCGTGTCAGCATGTCACCTTGGGCCTGTGTGCATGCCTTATTCAGAGCTGGATCTTCTTACGTATAGGTCATCAACTATGACAAGTGTAGCCACAGGAGTTTCTTGCTGAACTTCGTTTGCAGGGGAGCTGTTTTCTTCATTATAGACATTTTTCTTGGTAGCAACCATTAGAAACTCAGTTTCTAAAAACTGATTTTTATTTCGTGGAAACAGACTATGTTGTTCTCATGTCATTTACTTTACAACGTCGACCATAAAGGTAGTGGTTTCAAAATGAAGGTTCTAAAAATACGCGCGTCTCCGCTCTTTTCCCGTTGGCACCTGTGATTCTTGCCTGCCTGAGAGGCTCGTGATTTCCCAGGTAGGCGCAGGCTGAAAGATGTTAGGCTCCCCACATTTGAGGGTGGTACCCAGTCCTTTCTGAGAGAGGGTCAAAGTGTCGTCTTTGTCCCTTATAAGTAACTCTGAACCCCCCTGTAACCTGACTTCACACCCTGAACCGTGTGGCTCAGGTGGTGCTCGCATCAGCTGACCCTGAGGACTCTAAACCAAACGTCAAGCCCGTTGACCTTGATCAGAGCTCCGGGCCTCCTGCCCAGGGAATTGAGCCGTTAGTGCCCATCCCGTGGACATCAGGTGGCCGCGGGGCTGGTGAAATCGTTCATGCAGGCGTCTGTCGGCTGAGGGCGGTGAGCTCCTGTCTGTTACAGACCAGGGGGGACTCGCATGAATTGTGTGGGGGCCTCCCCTCTAGGTACGAGACGAGCGGCATCGGAGAGGCGCGGGTGAAGGAGGTGCTTCTGGATGAAGACGACGACCTCTGGATCACGCTGCGCCACAAGCACATCGCAGAGGTGTCCCAGTAAGAGCCCCTTCCCTGGCCCTCCTCCCGGTGACGACGTTTCTCCCCAGGGTGGTTCCCGGGCGGCTGGGGCGGCTCCTCCGTGGGTGGAATCGCTGCCCCAGCAGAGTCGCCAGCATGCGAACCTGTGACGATAAACCGTCCGGATCTCTGAGCTGGGGCTCCACCGACTTCAGGAAGTTAGAAAATCCATTCTGTTAGGGGGGCTTTCGGGTTTTTGGAAAGCATTTGTAGCTCTCAGCAAAATGCTTTATAAACGCTAAACACGCAAAATGAGCTTGCTCCGTTGAAAGGTACAGACGCCCCTACATGCAGGTCTCTTTAGTGGAGCTGGCGTGTAATCTTCCTCTCCTGTGGTCACACCTGAAAATTCTGAGCAGAACTGATGTCTCTATACAGAGAACCTACTTAGCTCTGGACATGTTTCCAAATGTTTCCAACATCTAAACATTGTTATAAGACCTCTAAACAATTCTGTTTTTGCAGAAGGACACACCCTGCTGCACTGGTTGGTGATGTCCTCAGGAAATTCATGAGGAAGGGAGAAAATAGCGTTGGGTAGATAGTGCTGCCCTTCAGAAGGGTCTCTGCACTTTCGGGGTCACTCAACCTTAGAAAATACTGATTCATAATCCCAGTATTTAAGTCGATCTGTGAAGTAAACACATGCTTTGTTGTACGAATGTGTATGTTTGCAGCATGTACAGAAACATAAATCTGAAAAGGCAGGAGTAAAATAAACATAAATAGATGTCCTAGTATTTTCTTCTCTCCTCTCGAATCATCTCGTGCACCCCACTCTGGAGCCCCTGGCTTAGAATACTGGCTAGAAAAACAATGTATCGCTCGGAAAATCACTGCGATGGTACCTTACGGCAGGAAAAGTAACATTTTCCTGAAGGAAGAATCTTGCGCGGTTCCTGAAGCTCAGCTGCCGCCTTCTGTCTTCCAGGGAAGTCACCCGTTCTCTGAAGGACTTTTCTTCTAGCAAGAGAATGAACACCGGAGAGAAGGTAACCCCGTGCTGGTGCCGCGGGGCCCCCGGCCGACCCCTGCTTTCTGTCCGGGAGCCGGGAGACGCCGCCCGGGCGTCAGGCTGGGGAGTTGGGGTCACGGTGCTCCCCTCATCCGTGAGCGTGTTGTCTCATGTTTGTACTCAACACTGAGATCCGGAGCCCATCTTTTGATATTTATAGAGAGTTCCTCTGTGTTTCTCTGAGGATCCGTATTTGCTGTTTGGGATCGTGATTCCTTTTAAGCCGGAAGAACCGAGAAAGCTCTTTCAGCTTGTGGAGGAGTTAGGGGGTTTTCACGACCTAGCTTTCCCGGCCTCGCCTTCTCCGGGCCGTATATCGGAGGTGGCTCGCCCAGCTCAGTCGAGGGAGACGCAGCTCCGGTTGCGGCACCCCCTTTCCTGAAGCCGTGTATGGACCTCCCGTTCCCGGGAGCGTCAGCCCACCTGCCCACCCGTCTTCCAGCACCCGGGCCATCAGGCTCCGGAGCCTCTCTGGGCNTCTCTGAGGATCCATATTTGCTGTTTGGGATCGTGATTCCTTTTAAGCCGGAAGAACCGAGAAAGCTCTTTCAGCTTGTGGAGGAGTTAGGGGGTTTTCACGACCTAGCTTTCCCGGCCTCGCCTTCTCCGGGCCGTATATCGGAGGTGGCTCGCCCAGCTCAGTCGAGGGAGACGCAGCTCCGGTTGCGGCACCCCCTTTCCTGAAGCCGTGTATGGACCTCCCGTTCCCGGGAGCGTCAGCCCACCTGCCCACCCGTCTTCCAGCACCCGGGCCATCAGGCTCCGGAGCCTCTCTGGGCTCCCCGTCTCCCTCCTTCCTGACCCCCCGCCTTGCTCCAGCCACACTGAGCTGCTTACCTGGGCCTTGCCTTGTGAAGTCCTGGTCTTCGCTCAGGTGTCATTTGTTGGGGGGAGCTGGGACCTTCCCCACACCTCCCTGGACGACCGAAGGGCCTCAGCTCCGTGCGCCCACACCGACGGCCTCAGCACAAGCCACTCGTTCGGATGGCTCCTCTGCTAGACGGTTCCTTCAAGGCAGAAATCATTGAATTTTTAAAATTTTTTTTTTGTCCTTGTATCTCCAGCACCGAAAAGCGTCTGGCATGTAGTAGTAATTCAATAAATCTGTGTTGGATAAATGAATGGGCTTAGGTGTGTCACACAGTTAGAGAGTAAGCAGCCCCCTTTCTCCTCCGGATGCGGGTTCCAGCCCCTTTCGCCTTCTGCCTACCGCCCACCTGTCTGCACAGCTGCAGGCTTTCTGCTGGGGTGAAACGTGAACTTGATGCAGGGAGGCAGCGCATGGGAGCAAAGGTGCTCTTCCCCGGCGAGAATTATGCTCTCGGCAACTTTCTAGCCCAGTAAATGAAACATAATTGCTGGACTTCAGAGTTCAGTTCTCCACCTATGAGACCGTCATGCTATTTGGGTCAATAATTTTTTGAGCAGAGGCCGGGCTCTCTGAACACACACGATCTTGCGTTTAACGGATTCACTTAGAAAGCCACAGACGCGCGTGGGGATTCGGGTGCCGGCTGCCGTCCTGTCCTGCGCCCACCACACTTGCACAGCCTCTTAGATCGGGGCCCTGGGCGTGAGACCCTATGCTTTCCTTTCCCTTACAGACCACCATGCGGGACCTGTCCCAGATGCTGAAGAAAATGCCCCAGTACCAGAAAGAGCTCAGCAAGGTATGGTATCCAAAGGGATCCACTCGGATCGCGCGTAAACAGCTTCCGAAAGACGCCTCCAAGTCCCGGCTCGCTGACCGACTCGTTCACACCCACGGGTTCCCAGGCATCTTCAGTTTTCATTAGACAGAGGGACGGCTGGGCTAGACACTGATTTCCTGACTGTCCCCCGCTCCCTCTTTCCTCTGTATTCTTCCTGTTCCTCTTGTCATGGGCCTCGCCGCAGGGCTGCCTGAGCGTCCTCGTGACGTGCCAGCTGGCTTCCCCAGAGCGAGTGACCCGGGAGGGAGAGCGCGAAGGAAGTCACAGTGCCCTTCCCGTCCCGATCTGGGATGTCGCACCTCACTTCCTCCGCACTGTTTGTTAGAAACGGGTCACTGACCAGCCCACACGCAGGGGGAGAGGAGCTAAGCTCCCCCTCCTGGAGGGGTAATATCAGAGGGTTTGTGGACACGGCGGGAAGCCATCACACCGCCCCGCCCCACGAAGGATCCCTCCTTCCTCTGGACTCCTTTAGAATGCGGCTTGTCCATCTCCCCTGACACAGGTCCCTGCCTTGTGCCTGTGTGCCGGCCTGCGCACGTTTCCCCTCCCTCATGAGGCCGGAGACTCCTTGGCGACTAGCCCAGTGCCCAAACACCATAGTGCCGGGTAGATGCCGCATGCGTGCGAGTAACTCCTTGGTCACCGACTCTGCTTTTTCCTAGTACTCGACCCACCTGCACCTGGCCGAGGACTGCATGAAGCATTACCAAGGCACCGTGGATAAGCTGTGCCGCGTGGAGCAGGTAGGGCCTTTTCCTCCTCCCCCCGCCGCGCCCACTCACCAGCTGAATGTGACCTCTGACCTTGAACGTCCCGCAGAGTCATGGGGAACAGAGATGGGGAAGCCTGCTAGCTCGCGTGGTCTCGCCTCCCTGGAGCCAGGGCCGCACCACCCTCACTGGTAGGGGCCGGAGTGGCCTGGCGTGCTGTGCCGTTTGGAGTCTGCATGTGTGGCTTTCCAGAGGTGCCGAGCCCTCCGTGGACGGGCTGGCTGAACTCTATACCTGAATGTATCTCCCCCTGCTGTGGCCACACCAGCACCGGGGATCTCAGGGCTGCCAGAGGACGGTGCACTTGCAGGCCGGAAATCTGCCCCTGGCCTCGCTGATCACAGTTAGCACCGTAGGCTCAGAGTTTGGGATCTGAGTTCTGTCTCTGTCACGGATTTGTTTGCTGTGCCCATTTCTCTATTTTCCTCACCTGCCAGGGGAAACGCAATGCCGCCACGACTTCCAGGGTGGAGCGTGGAGCTGGCACTGCATTCCGCAAGTGTGGCAGCCTTACTCAGCTAGGGTCAGCTGCTCGGGAGAGGGCACTGAATGACGCCGAAGCCTCGGCGGAAGGTCCCTTTTCACAGGAAAACGGCTCTAGTTCTCAGTGAGAAGCTGAGATTTAAATGTTTGACTTGATGTGATAGGCTCGGCTTAGGTCTGTCGGGCCTGTCCCCAGTCATTGCCTCTCCTAGTGGAAGCGGCCCCTCTAAAACCCATCAATTTCACAGGTGAACTTGGCTCCAAAAGAACTTCACTGTCCAGACAATGGGTTATCTCCCAGATCAGTAAAAATGCAGTCGGGATTAATCCTTGGAAGTTAAATTGTTTCAGAAGTGCTCAATAGTATCTATTGGATTCGTTACATTTAATTTGAGTTTTAGAGAGTGTTGGAATCAGGTCGTGCTGAACAAGCCTCGGTGAGGCCGGCGGTGCGACCGAGAGGTGAAGGCCTAGGAGAGGTGCCGGGCCTTCCTCCCACCCAGACGGGGAAGTGGCCACTAACTCGAGTCGTAATTCTTATGAACTCCTGGGGTCTCGAGAGAAAAAAGGGGACCTGCAGGCAGCCTCTGGAAGAGCCACAGAGGAAGCCGCAGCCTCTGGTCTCTGAGAACAAGGCCGAATGGTTCTCCATGGGCGGGGGCTGCCGGCCGCTTGCTCTGGCCTCTGGAGAACGGGGCTGACTCCCGCCTGAGCTAAAGGGGGTCGGTAGACTGTGCCCCCTTCACTCTCCTTCACCTTCAGTTCCTTTGCCAGCCCTTCTCCCCTCCTTCTCCTGCAGTTGGATCTGCAGGTTTGGGAGCCTGTTCCCTTTTCCTCCTCATGCTAGAAATGGTTGGAAGATTAAGAACAGACTGAAAACCGGAGTAGATAAATCTCAGGGAGCGTGTCCTCCAGCGCCCGGGCAGCCGGCCGGGCAGCCGGCCGGGCAGCCGCCCCTCGCAGCACCAAGGCCTGTCCCCTGGGGGAGGCGTCCCTCCGAGCCCCGGCCCCTCAGCTGGGCTCGTGTCTCTCCCGAGAGGACCTGCCAGGGTCGGAGCTTTCCCTGGGGACCTGGCACAGGTCCGCGGGCACCTGCCCAAAGGGAATGGCCGACCTCTGAACAAAGTGGAACCGGGAGCCTTTTCTCACGGATGCTCTGGAAATCGGTGCTCGTGCCACCGGTGTGGGCCCCGGGCGTTGTGAGAGTAGCAGTTCCTGTGTAAGACGCCCCGGTCCAGGCACGAACCCGGCCACGCACAGACCAGCAGTTCTCTAATAGCTGCCGCCTGCCCAGGCTGTCACCAGAAAATGGTCTGTTTTCCCCAGGACCTGGCCATGGGCACGGATGCCGAGGGCGAGAAGATCAAGGACCCCATGAGAGCCATCGTCCCCATTCTGCTCGACGCGAACGTCAGCACCTACGACAAAATCCGCATCATCCTGCTGTACATCTTTCTGAA